GGTATTGCTAAAGACCATCCGATCACGACATATATAACTCTCGACACACTCTGGACACATATCCGTCACATATCCAGAGTGCCTAACCGCCACCTTGCTTTCTTGCCACTAGAAAGACCATGCAAAGGCAGCGTTTTCCAAAGTTGTTGCGGCTAGCCAGAATTCCATCTCGTGGAGATTCTCGCCCGCAACCATACCACTATCTCCAGAGTGGTGCATGAAAAGACCGACTGTGCACCTTGAAGTGCCGGGGATATCTAAAAAGGCAAGCCTGTCATCTGCAGCCCTTAAGCAGATCTCACTGGACCTCTTGCATTTGTCGTATGCTGATCGAATTCATGGTTTACACGGACGGTTCGGTCTCGGGAAGTTCGACAAGTGCCTTTGTCATACCATCTCGATCAATCACCGTCAAATTCAAGACATCACACGTCACGACGTCTACGGGATCCGAGCTCGCCGCTCTTCGAGCCACTGTAGAGTTTGTTACGCAAGAATCCCCTAGTAGATGGGCCATTTTCTGCGGCTCCAAGGCAGCCCTTCAATGCGTGCGAAGTCTACGACGTGGAAACTACCACCAGATGGTGTATCGTATTAATGAAATTTGTCATCGCGCTGCTGATCAAGGGCATGACATTGTTCTACAATGGTTGCCGAGCCACTGTGGCATCAGTGGTAACCACCTCGCCGACGACGCTGCCCGATGTGTCCATGATGGAGCGCCCACATTATTAATACCCTTGTCAAGAGTAGACACAGCTAGAGAACTTCGTCACATTGCGCATAATGCCACGCTTGCGCACTGGAATTCTCCACTTAACTCCAATCATCATCCTACGAATCTTAAGTCATTACGTCAGAAACAACTGCCATCCAAGATTTCTCGACGTGACGCTACAATGCTGTGCCGGCTGTGGACTGGAGTAGCGTTTACTAAGTCATTCAGCCATCGCATTGGCATGGCGGATTCATCCATGAAAGCTGCAACTGTATACAGACTATTGAACATCTCTTGTGCCACTGTGCCCAATTTGATGAAGATCGCCCGACTCTCCAGTGTGCCTTGAATAGACTCGATGACCGGCGATTTAATGAAGCAAAGATCTTAGGAGCCTGGTCGCGCAGCAAATCAGCAGAGAAAGGCACACGAGCACTCCTCAGATACTTGTCAGCAACTTCATTGAGGGACCGCTTGTGAAACTCGGCATTGTGTGTGTGATGTGACATGTGTCTATCCTTCTCTCTCTTTCTTACTTCCCACTCCCCCTCCCCATGTGTAGGGTAGCAAACTGGACGCATAGTCTAGTTAACCTCCCTACCTTTCCTACATTCCTTCTTTCTCTCTCGCTCTCTCTGCGATTTTTTTTTCATTGCCAAACAACGCACAGAAGAAATCTCCCACTGGCACTATCTTGGAGGTCAAGATTTAGTGTCTATAAATACGGGGTGGGCAGTGAACCGTTGGGCAGCGCAAGCAGTCATTTTTTTTTTTTTTTCACTTAAGAAACTCCCTAGCAGACGCTGCCTGCTTCGACATTGCGAGGCGAGCAGCGTATGTGAGGAGAGAGGAGGAGAGGTGCGCATGCACTGTAGAGGTAGTCACACTGCACACCGGATTGAGCTAGACCACAAAAGGTTTCGCATCTACAAGCGCTTAACTACCATATTCACGCTCGACGCCAAGAATGAGCGAAAGTTGTTATTTCAATCATCCAACGATTTCGCTTCGTGTAAGTGCGGGCTGCGCTCTAGGTTATATAGCACGCACAGCGCACCTATACAATCGAGCACATTTGATGCTAATCGCGTGAGCATCGACCGGTCTGGTGTCTCAGGGGCCTATAGCGGCGCGTTTCGGAACAATGATTATCAATTACACATTCTTCTCGCCCTAGTTGGCTGCATGCTCCATGCTACAACAATTGCCACCGTGACTAACTCCGCCTTACATCCTTTCTCTCTATTTTATGCTTTTAATTCACTGTGATTGCTACGAAGATGCGTATTCTCATTGGCTCGTTTGCCCACGCACGATAACAGGATAACTGGGAGAGACAATGTAAAGCTTCTGCTTAGCACTGCTTCCTTTACCCGACTTGCTAAGCTGAACAAAATATATCGCGTTGTCATAAGAAAAGGAAGGGAAAATGCGCTTCCTCCGGATGGGAATGATCGCAACTGAAGGAACACTCCCAGGACAGAGTGAAGCTTCCCTGATACCCCTCTCTCTTCGAAAGAGCATAGTGGTACGTGGCGCTGTGGTAGTTCTTAATAGACGCTCGCGTGATAACTTTCAAATCACGCTGGACCGCGCTTGCGAATGTTGGAGATTATAAAACTATTTCTGAATCCGAAGAATTTCGCGACCTTGAGCGTATCTATCTATCTATCTATCTATCTATCTATCTATCTATCTATCTATCTATCTATCTATCTATCTATCTATCTATCTATCTATCTATCTATCTATCTATCTATCTATCTATCTATCTATCTATCTATCTATCTATCTATCTATCTATCTATCTATCTATCTATCTATCTATCTATCTATCTATCTATCTATCTATCTATCTATCTATCTATCAATCTATCTATCTATCTATCTATCTATCTATCTATCTATATATCTATCTATCTATCTATCTATCTATCTATCTATCTATCTATCTATCTATCTATCTAGCCTCTTACGTTTAGGTGCTCTCGTGGTCACCCCCTTAACTTCGCGTGAGCCAAATTTAGAATGGAAGGGTAGGATGGTTTGACGAATATGACGCACTGGTCAAGCAAGACATGAATGATGTCACAATCCCGTCGCGTACGTCGTCCAACACTTCCCTCCAGACAGTGACACATACCCGCGGGTGGGTATGTGCCGCTGTTATGCGGGTGTGTGCCACAGGTGATTGACACTTAATATCTACCCAGCAATGACGAGAACACACAGGGGCAATTTTAACGCGCGAGCGTTAAGAAATACCTGACATCGGCAGCGTAGACCCGACGAATGCAAACAATAAATATCAGGGACCAAGCTGGAAACGAACCGAAGAATTCTGCATGGCATTGAGGCATTATACCACGGAGCTACGTCAGGTCTCCAAACCACTTTTCGAATAGACGCTAATCTTTGTGAAACGTCATTAGTGGTTGCAGTGCTTCCTACCCAATTTTATAAACGTTACATATGTACTCCTTCGATAGCCCTGCCGCGATGGTCTACTGGCTAAGGTACTCGGCTGCTGACCGGCAGGTCGCGGGACCGAATCCCGGCTGCGGTGGCTGCATTTTTGATGGAGGCGAAAATGCTGTAGATCCGTGTGCTCAGTGCACGTTAAAGAACACCAAATGGTCCAAATTGCTGGAGAACTCCACTACGGAGTCTCTTGTAATCATATGTGGTTTAGGGGCGTTAAACACCACAAATCAATCATTATACTCGTTTGATAGAGCCGTCACGTCGGGTTAACGTCAATGTGGTTAGGTGTCATGCACTGAAGTTGACCTACGTAGCAGTGTCCAAGGCCAGCATCTTCGCGAGTATAAGGGCTTCGTATCGGCTTCTGGTGTTGATAATACGCATGTTCCATTGATTGATTTGTGGGGTTTAACGTCCCAAAACCACTATTTGATTATGGGAGACGCCGTAGTGGAGCACTCCGGAAATTTTGACCGCCTGGGGTTCTTTAACGTGCACCCAAATCTGAGTACACGGGCCTACAACATTTCCGCCTCCATCAGAAATGCAGCCGCCACAGCCGGGATTTGATCCCACGACCTGTGGGTCAGCAGCCGAGTACAATACGCATGTTCCAGTTGATGTCGTTGCGCAAGTGCAAACAAACGGTTATATAAACGTCAGCAACTCTTGAACATGTGTCTGTGTGTGCAAAATTCTTACATATATTTAGCGTCATTTCATGACGTGTCGCTCAATAAAAAAATTGAAACACGGTCACCTTCCTTCCGCAAGCTTTGCGTAACGTCGAATCCCAGGTACGTGAGATCGGCCGAATCTTTTTTTTTTTTTTTTTTAAGGCTTGCGTTCTGATGTCCCAAAAGGTGAAGCACTCAGTTCAGGGCTCCTATTTTCTACTGCTATTCGGCTGACTTGTCAATGAATCTACGCAGGCCGCCGAACTAGGATGAGCGGCTTCTCACCAGAAGAAAGGATCAAGTCATACCCGTAGGCAGGGAGCTTCTCGTTTTCAAAAATAAAGGGAATGTTAGCACTTGAAGCCCTTCAAAGACACGTATATATTTTATTCTCGGTAAAACAACCCCTCTCGCCCCGCCGCGGTGGTCTAGTGGCTAAGGTACTCGGCTGCTGACCCGCAGGTCGCGGGTTCGAATCTCGGCTGCAGCTACATTTCCGATGGAGGCGGAAATGTTGTAGGCCTGTGTGTTCAGATTTGGTGCACGTTAAAGAACCCCAGGTGGTCTAATTTTCCGGAGCCCTCCACTACGGCGTCTCTCATAATCATATGGTGGTTTTGGGACGTTAAACCCCACATATGAATCAATCAAAACAACCCCTACCTTCCGAATTTCTGAGAGAGGTGGCCTATGGGGCATTCTCCCCTACGGGCTTGCATGAAGTATTCTATATAGATGGGAAGGCTGCCGTCAGTAAGCTGCGCTCATTGCTGCCTCGGTTCCAACAGTGAATTTGAATTTCGTTGCTCCGCAGCAATTACCAAAGGCCGCCGATTAGAAATAAGAGGCGACAATGACCTCTCGGTAGGATTGGTGGCAATTCTTCCATTTGAAATAACTGCCTGCACCCACTATTTACTGCCACAATCAATGTTTAGCCGTAGGAATGGCTACAGCCAGATGCATCATTTCCATTATTTTTGAAGACTTGCATAAACATATCCCAAAGCAGCCTCCCACCTATGCTAGGGCGTTTATTTAAGCAAACGTAAAGAAAAGGTTAACTTACCCATGGCTTGTCCACACATATTACAGAAGTGCGTGAGAGAACCAACACGGAGTTAGAAAAGGAATTAAAAACAGTTTATTTCTGCTTCAGTTTGCTCAACCTTGATTGTACTGACTGAATGCGACTTTTTTGGCGCTCTTCGAAGAGGTTGACACTGAGCATAATAAATAATGAAACACCTTTTTTTCGAACAATAAAACAATGCAAAAGATGATCATGCCATAAAATAACGCAATACACTCACACATGCAACCACTGCGGAAATCCGCTCTTTCAGAAATGCGACTGGGGCGCCAACCGAAAGCCCACACTGCCTTCTGTAAACTTTGCACCTGTATGCCACGTCGCGGCAAAAATATTACAAACGCGTCATCCGGAACGCTCACAAGAACAATCTCTGTCCCCGGAGTAAAACGCAGTACACCCCGCAGTACACCTGCGGCGTCTCACGCTTAAACTTTGAACTCATTTCGCGAAGCTCCAGAAGCGAGGGCCACGCCGGCAGCAGTCGCACCCTTCTACTCGGCGAAAATTCCGCGAAAGCCACGTGCCGATATAAAAAAAAAGAGAAAACATGGACGCGCGTAAGCTCAAGGGACAAGCGCGTTAAACTCTACAAGGAAGACGGGGACACCGCCACTTTGCAGGCACTCCGTACTAGTGCGTACACCGATCACTGCAGTATACGCGTCAATGATAAGCGGGCGGTGCTTGCGTCGCATGGACAAACGAGAAAGCACTTGGATACAAGTTTATGCGACAATATTGCGGCGACAATGAAGAAGGTTGATTTTTAATAATGTTATAAGTACCGCACAAGACAAACTAGGAGCTGCCATTTCGAGCCTTGGAATGTATATTTCTAATATAAATCTAAAGTAAGCCCTACAGCCGGACTCGAACCAAAACGTAGATAATTTACTGCAAGCGTGTCACGTTCTTACATTCACAAGAAACAAATGAGAGTGATGCCCGATGTTCGGGATTGCAAAAGAAAAATGAGAAAACATGGAGATGATATTGCCCAATATGTTAGTTATTAGGCGATATGTAAAAATTTTAAAAATAGGCTAAAACATAGCATTGGGGGTCTGGCACATTACGGCAAAGGCTGCGAATTTTCGCGGACTCGCAATGCAGAAAGACATTCACAATTTGAACGCTGTGGCGCAGAATCGCAGCACATAATAAGGTCACAATGCGTATCGCGACTGCAGCACCCCCTGAACGTCACTTAGAAGTGCGCGCTAAAACAAAGAACGGATAAAAGATATACACGCTGCCATATCTATGAGACTACCAAAAGCAATAAATTTGCACCAGGGAGTGATAGAGTAAGCTTTCTGGATGGCACGTTTTGTTGCTGTCATGCAGCGACGTAGATCATTTGGTGGACAACATCGTGAGCGACGTCTCGACCGGTCTATACATGGATACTTCAACGTTACTCATGGTGAGATCAGAAGCACGAAAGACAGCTCGCCCAGTCGTCGTCATCTACGATGCTACTGTAATTATGCTATTGACTACATTTGCCGACAATGTATCGTAGGTACGCGAGAACTTATCACACGAGTCTGGCGATCTGCCACTCTCCTAAGGTGATACAATGTGGACATCTATAATATTTATATAACACGCTACGTGGGCTATGGGGTCAGTGCGCAGAAAATCCAAGTACAACTGCAAACGTAGCGGGCTAGCAACAATGGCACCTAGAGCTTAAACGCAAGTTCTAGGCTACCAGTAAGGCTTCTACTGTCGCTGGACACATACCACAACAAACACTTTTCGACACATCCACTGACACGCACGCACATGTCACTCACTCACGCTCGAAGTCTTATATACAAGGCAGGAGGAGTTCATATGTAGATAATACACGTATTGTATATAGAGACGCGCGTATTTACATCACAGCACAGGAACAACAGAGCCGCTATAGCTGGGTGATAAACGTGGCACCACCATTCTGCTTCTCTTTAGTCCAGTTAAAGGCAGAGTTCTCGAAAGCTTGCAAGTCGGACTGAGAATCGGACGGGCAGGACGAGCGCCGAGACTCGATGAAGTTCATCTGGGAGGAGACCTCGCGCATGGTGGGCATCGCCGAAGCATCGTGTGCCGTCTGCGGGGGGCACAGCCGCTGGCAACAGCCGCACCGGCCGACGACGGCAGAAATGACGCGGTCGAGCGGGTCCAGCGACCGCATCCACTCGGGCAACAAGAGCCAATTGCGCAGCTTCTCGGGCAACATGTGGGGCGACTTGCGTTGCAGAATGTTAACGGCGACCACGGCGACCAGAATGAGCAGCACCGGGATGAGGACGACCATGAAGACGACCATGCCGGCCATGGACAGCCCAAACACGGCGGCCGGAAAGAGAAGGAACATGCAGAGCAGGTAGAGAACCGAGAACCAGCGGTACTTGGCCGTCGTATTGCCCAGAATCTTGGCCAGTTGAATGGGGAACCGAGTGAAGGGGATCGGGTAGAACATCAGGATGCCCAGAATGTTGAAGAACAGGTGGCAGAAGGAGATCTGCAGCGTGTACCTGATGCGACTCGAGTCGGCTGCCAGGGCGGCCAGGATTCCGGTGGTAGTGGTGCCGATGTTGGAGCCCAGCGTGAGAGGGTAGATGCGCTCCAGGCTGATGACGCCGATGCCCGCCAGAGGCGTGAGCGCCGATGTGAAGATGGAGGAGCTCTGCACGAGAATGGTCATAATGCAGCCGAGCAGGATGGCGATGTAGCCGACCAGAACAGAGAACGGGAACCGGTACTCGGCGTTCACGGTGGTCTTGATGACGACGGCGATGCGACCGCGAAGCATCGAGTGAAGCAGCTTCACCATGAGGATGAGGCAGACGCACAGCGTCAGCAGAGAGATGCCCAGCAGCAAGAGGCCCACGAAGCTGTCTTGCCAGTCCAAGGAAACCAAGGCGAATTTACCTGCGAGCAAGCACATTGGCCATGTACGCATCTTTCCCGGAGACGAGAGCATAGATGCAAGCGTTCCTTAACTTGAAAATTTTTCTGCCGAAACAATATGCAGCGAAGCACGACAACATGCGGCCAAATGTCACTGTGAAGATCAGCCAGGCTGCCTTCAAGACTGTTCTAAACTTTCGTACTGCCAACTTTCTTTACAACTACGTTTCGCAGTAAACAAACAGACTTAGTTTAACACTTGGTGCCATATTGCAAAGAATTCACGGGCAAGTAACATAATGTTACGGTCTAGAAGCCATTGATAAGATGTGCACTTGTTCCATGTGGTAATACTACATAATGTTTGCACTGTAAATAAATGCTCCCTATTCTGCTCGGCATTTTAAACACGCACATACAGATCTATGTAACCTGTTTGAGGGAAGGTCACTCGCATATTTGTATTGCACATGGTAATACTGAAAAGCTGCCTAGGACGCGCCATGCATTTATTTGTCTCACAGGACGCTATGACTAAAGATGTTAACATGGCACCCTTGTAGAAAGTTCCGGCGAGAGAAGTTGCCTAGTTTTATTAATATTTTCGTTCGATGCAGTCATATTTATTTGATTATAGGCGTTAGCTATTAGATCCATGCCGCTGGAACTCGAATAAGGTTCAGTTCGTAATTGCACTTACATTGAGTGGCACATCCATCGCTGGTCATGTTACAACAGCGCTTGATTAAAGAGTGGTTGTAGTAAGTCTCATCTCCGATGGCAACCTTCTCGATGACCTTTTTGTCCAACTAAAAGAAGAAGAGAAAGAAAGAAAACACCCGTGAGAATCTTCGAGGTGCAACAAGCAGTAAAAAAATGGCAGATCAGTTTACAGGTATGACGAGGCAATACAAGCGAAGTCGGAAATGGAGAGTATTAGACTTAATAAAAAGAAAAGAGTTATCGGCAACGAGTACCTGCGACTGCCTATCACGAGTAAGAACCATCGATTAACGTTTTAGTTCACAAAATGAATGTCACTGGTGGCACTGAATCGTACAAGCAATTTGAGCGACATACGCAAAACCAAAATGTACAAATACATGAAGGGTTAGATCCCAGGAAAGAAACGCACAAGCAATAGCAAAATAATGTCGAATTGGTGAACATAGAATAAGAAATAATGGATTTTAGGTGAGCCCGTGTTGAAGGCTGTGTATAGCCAGGTAAGAAATTGCAGAATAGCAGACAACGTCCCCTTGAAAAGTGGCTTCATGGTACAGCTACGAGTACTGCCGTGAAGCAACACAGTACGGTGAAATGCAGAGCATTATGAACGAACGTGGGTGATCTGTCACATGAAAAAAGTTCATGTGCTGCGATTTTCACACCCCGTACAAGAACAAACCTGGTCCTTATTTTGATCACTAATGATAAACATATCGTTAGTGTTTTCAAGAATTTACGAGTCGAAGCCCAACCACTTATTTTGGTGTCCTTTTAATAGCTACGTTACTCCACGTACATTCGTCGTATCAGTTTTACTCATTACATTTTCAATTAAAGCGTTTCACATAGATCCCCACACAAGGATATCATCTTTTTTTCATTTCTTAGCATTGCACGCCGATGTCGCATGTACATTAGGCATCTGCCAGCAGTGCGTTCACTGCAAACGGGGCACACACTCCGCCGACGCCATGGTTCACTTAAAAAGAAATACTCGTAAAACTGATCAGACAGCACAATAACGTGTCTGGAAGTCTTAGAACGCGGCATCTTACCTGAATAATGAGGCTTGTGAATGGCTTCGTCAAGACTTGCAAGAAGTCCCTGTTAGCGTTTTTATTTGTGGTCCAGTTGGTGGAGTTCATGATGGCGCTGGTCAAGTGGTAGAGCACGCCTGTGGCAATGAACGAAAGTAAAACATTAGTTTAACTTTCTCTAGCACAAAATAGGCTGAATCACGCGTTGAAGGAAAACTATTTTTGTGCACAAAAGTTTTTTTTGTTTTGTATTTTTCCTGTTTGTAAAAGCTGCCCCCCGGGTGCGGCCGAGATCCGAGCCCTCGACTTGATCATTTGTTACACCAACATCGTGAAAATGCGGGAAGAGCGTATTTTAAGACACATCCAGGCAATATTACTCCCCTTGTTGTCTATGTTAAGGTGCACTAAACAAGAACTCTTTTTGGATTTTGTCTAAGTGAGTCAACATGTTGTAACGACTAGTAGCCAACAAAAGCGGACATTTAGCTAGCATTAACCACTGCTCGCACTGCGCGACTAAACGCGGTAAGGACGGACACTAACTAATCGCCGCTGTAAAAAGCAGGGAAGGCGGTAGGGACTACAGCAATGAAATCACTCGGATTCCACGTTACACAAGAAAGGAGGCGTCAATACACGCGAAAGTAGGACATCGTTACACGCAATTATCATCCAACTAAAACCAGCTAATACCACTCATTGCAAGTTGGCGGACACTTTATTGCAGTAAGTGCCAAGTCGCAGAATTGCGGGGTATTTAGGCCGGAAAATGTTACGCCTAGCACGTATCGTGTTGCGGCAAAGCGTACAACGAAATTCACGCTCAGCATTCTAACCCGTCATGCACTTGTCGCCAGCTGTACTCATTTGAAATGCAAACGAGCCAGAGCTAACCAGCGCACGTCGATACGCCCCAACGACATTTCCAATTAATGGGTCCAGGCTGTTATTTTGGCAAGCCGCAGCGTGGCACTATTTGACGAAGTTGATGACGAACCGAACAGTTCTGGGAGTCGAATACCACCATTTTTTTGTTGCGTTTGTGTCCGATTATAATCAAAATTCGTGGCAGATACAACTTTAATCCATTCGCAGTAATTCGCAGCTCAAATTTTGAGCATCGTGTGAACGCTAACAATTTAGAAAGAACACTACGCAAATCTCAAAACTGATTGCAAGCAAGGTAAATGCAAGACTAATTGACAATTGACTAGTCGGAGTTGTCGGTAATCCTAGATAGCTTCCATGACTGACGAGCTTAACAAGCAAACAATTAAAAGAGCACTTAGAAACAAAAACAAGTGTGCGCTCTAATGAACGAGAGAAATTTCAATGCTCGCGTCCATAGGCATATGGGTATTCGACGCAAGCTTTCTCAGCTGGTTACATATCTAATAAAAATTGTTGGGGTTACTTCGCAAGACCTCGACATGATTCTGCGGGATACCGTGGTCGAGGGCTCCGTAAATATCGGCCACATAATGTTCTTTAAGCGGTTATCAAATCACCGACCTCTAGCACTCGCCTTCATTCAAATGCGGCCGTCGCTGTCGGGATTCGATCCCGCGACCTTTGTGTCGGCAGTCGAGCTTGGGTTCGATGTCCGAGACGACCGCGAAACTGAATTCGTACGCATACCTCACCTTTTCCGAAAATTGCCGATGGAATCGTTTCGCATTCCTATAGACGGTAAAGAATGCTTTTTCCTGCAGTTATTCTTCGCTGCTCGGGGAAACGCCACCTATCAGCCTATGCCCAAAAGACACGTATATACTTAAGGGAGGGGAGGTATACTCGGCACTGAGGACAGTGCTCGGCGATAAGCGGGGGCTTACGTGCTCCACTCACCGAATGCGGCCTCCAAGGGCAGCAGGACGATGACCGTGAGCCAGTTGAACATGTCGTGCACGGTGGCGGCGGCGAACGCCCGTCGGAACTCGTTCCGCTCGCCGCTCTGCATCAGCGACACGATGGTGTTGGTCACCGAGGTGCCGATGTTGGCACCCATGATGATGGGAATGGCATCGCGAACCTGGATCACTGAAGGCCCAGAAAGGAGAGAGAGCACGTCAGCACCACCCATTGTGCTGTATTCGTGCATATACTTTTGGATTGACAACGCTTCACAATGGCATGACAGCGCATGCACAGTCGAGCAACGTAATATATAGAATACATAGCCGGCCGTGCGTCGCAGATCATACTAAGAAGCATAATGTCTATCAAAAACTTTCAAAAAGCGCGCTATTCGTGAAGCGAGTGACCTTGTCGCTTTAAGTTTAGTATTCACCGGGCCGTTGCATCAGTCCAGACATGCTTTAGGGACTTAAACAGATTCATTTCAATTACATGCAAGTCCTTCTCACCCTGCATCGTACAACTGCAGAAAAAAAAGCGGTAACGGCAAAGTATTCAAATGAGGGAAAGACCTCAACTCGTTAATATGTTACGAATTAGAATATATTGTTTCAATGCATGATGAGTTTCATCATATAAGGGATAGAAAACAAAGGACTACACCACGGAAACAGGAAGCAAACGTTTACTTTCACGGACAACTTGTGGCCCAGGTGAACGGGAAGAGAGGGTACTTACGGTTCGCACCGACCATGGTGATGATGATGGAGGACGAAGTTGAGGAGCTCTGCACGAGGACGGTGGAGAGGACGCCGATCATGAGGCCGACGACGGGGTTCTTGAGCACCTCGTTTTGAGACATGACCTTGCCGGCCGTCTTGCCGCCGACTAACCGAAAGGCAGAGCTGAGAAAGTCCAGCGAGCAGATGAACAGGTAGAGGAGACCCACCAGGCAGAGCCCCTTGGCCACGCCCAGAACCACCCGCTGAACCTTGCCGCCGGCGGTGAGCTCTGCACAGCAAATGCAAAAAGAAAGGAGGAGGCTCTGATGAGGCTGTTCGGTAGTCATAAAGTTGTGAACGACAGCATCCTTTACAGAACACAAACTATCTTATTGAATGCGTGGTGGCCGAAGCCTGTACTGGCCTGTGAAAACCCAATCTAATAGAACGAAGAGTTGTATTGTGCTGGCAGTCGTGCTGCAGTTACTTTGCGGTCGTGGCAACACGTAGGATGTCTGGCATATATATGCCTAAATAAATATGAATTATTAGTAATATATGCGCGCGTACATGTCCGTCTTATAGTTTGCATTGGAAGTTATCTTCCTCCCGTCGTCACAACATACTCGAAGCGTATAATATACTAGGTGAGGGCGAATATTTTGGCAGCAGTGCATTTTCTGTACACCCCTATTCTCCGCGATACTAGACATAAAACAACTATATACGAAATTACGTGACGCTTCAAAGTTCTCATATAAGCATACAGAAGACCTGAGAAACTTAATGGACTCTTTCGCCCGTTAAGTATCCGAGTTGCAGTAAGGAATTCTGTTCAGAGGCCAAGAAGAATATACTTCAAATCCAAGTCTCGTTGCTCTTACCACTCTTTTTGTCTTGATGCGAAACTGAGGATTCAACAATAAATTAAAAAAATATGACATTTCTCTCTAACAACCGGTAATGCATCATTTAATGGAGAAACCACAATGAAGCTTCAGCATGAAGAGGGCGTTATTTATCTTTCACAAGCACTGTACATAACTGCATACTCTTGCATTTGCAGGAGGTCAAACGAAAATAAAAAGGAAAAAGACAGTGAAAGCGCGATAGCAGCTGTTAAAAAAAAAAACATCAGATGTGAATTTGGGCTATTCTATCCATCTTGCAGGCTTTGGTGGTGCGAAAACTTTTCGCAAACACAGCCGTCTACGCGCGTCGGCGACATTGACTAATCCTTATAAACAACTTGTTGCAGACAACATAAACAAGAATTATGCATTTCACTGAATTCCACGAGAGCAATAGAAACATACTTCGATGTTTCATTTTTAATAAGAACACACGTAACTAAACTTGACAGTTGGTAAAGACACCGGAAATGTTTAAATGATTGGCTTTATGGTACTTTTCTTAGCATAAATTATAGCTGTTTACAGATTAAGTATTGTAAAGTATTAAGAAACTACTTCCAGATACTGAGTTGCTGTTGCTATGGTGTGATTGGTATCTTTGTAGAAATTGCGAATGCCAATTTTTTCGGAAGAAAATGAGTGCCGTTTGCTGATGTTTGAACCGCTGCAGAATGACATACAGAAAAACAGATCTGCAAAATCCTGTACACACCCACCCACCCACCCACCCACACACACACACACACGCACACGCACACACACGCACACACACACACACACGACATTAAGGGCGTGTCCTCAACGCTACGAAAACAACACTGAACAGATTGGGAACCTGTCGAAAGAAAAAAAAAAGAAAGCACGTATAAAGGATAAATGTTCGCAAGACATTGGCATCCAGGCGGCCAAGTATGGTCATTGTGAGTCATACACATTACCGACACTAGCGCGCTTGGTTGGCGCCGTCGCACACAATTGGGAAGTGTACAAAGAGCATCTCGGCCGAATACGCCATTCGTAGTGCCGAACGACAGCTTGAAGCAACGCGCCACGAAGCAATGCGCATGACAAGCGTGTCTGTTAGGGTAACACTGGCACATCAAGCCTAATCATCGCACAACGTATTGTTCCCAATGACTTTTCTGACCCCGCAGACGTGTCGAAAAGGTTATTTGTGCTGAGTGCGTCGCTACACGTCTCGAAAGTTCAGCTTTGAGGCTTCCTTGTGCGTCTTTCTTGACCGCCAGGGCATTAAACTATGCCGAGGAAAGTAGAAAAAAAAAGAAAGAAACGCGACTGTTTATGTACCGTTCAGCTACCCGATGATGAGGTGAAGAGTCGGGACTTTCCGGAGCCTCTCCACAGCAGGCAGGGTTCGAGTACAGCGCAAATAACCTTTAGAAGACATTGCGCAAGAGGCACCTGTCGGCCGAGAAGACGTGTCTTACGCAACTGGCGCCCAGCCAAACGACGGCGAGCATGACAATCGGACAAATGGCACGTCTGACTGCATTAAACGTCACGCCTGTCACGCTGGCCTAGTTTACGTGAGCGCCGTAACGTATGCCACCCGTTCATACAGGTATAGTTTTTTTTCTTTTGTTTTTCTTTTTGCCATTTTCGAGGTGACTACTCCGCAAAATACACATTAGCATAGCGTCTTGAGGAACGCTTCCAACAAGAGCTTCGCGTTTTCAGGCAGCCAGCCTATTACACACACTTAAAAAAAAGGCAGTGCTACTTACTAACTTTGATGTAGTAAATTGTCACAACATTCACTACCCAAGTAGTAACTGTAGGTAGTAGACCACAGACATTTACTACCTCTGGTTGCTTCTGAGGTTGTAAACGTATGTGATCTACTACCTGCAGTTACTACTTATGTAGAGAATGTTGTGACAATTTACTACCTCAAAGTTAGTAATTAGCAGTGCCTTTTTTTAAAGAGTGCACTGCACTAAAACAGCAACGATACAAGTGTGCACATCTATTTAATGTTCAGGAATTTCTTACTGATAAAGTACACCGAACGGAAAAAAAAACTGACGAAGGTATTCGTCATTGTCTTACGAAAAATACTGCACATCACATCCATGCACAATCTTAAAATTTTCGAGTGGGCATCGGTTTCACTGTTGGCAAACGTTCAAGTTCGATTGCGCGTGATTGTTCCTGGCAAACGTTGACATTCTTGACCATCCACCCCGTCTTGGCATTTTGAGTGGGCGCACGTCTTTTGTGTAGACAAATGTGACAACCCTCCAGATAAGCAATATTTGTAATCAAACGATATCGCAGACAACACACGGGCGTAACTACAACTCTTCGTTAGACTGGCATCTACTACTGGTCTCACAGCACGAGTTGAACATTCGAGCATCACCTTAGCAATCGAATGCAAGAGTTGCAACGAGGAAGATGCCCATGCGTGCGCGGAATCAAATCACCTTTTTAAGAGGCACAATGTTAAAGCCATCTCCGGGATTCTGATTGAAGAAAGAAAGTTAGGTGGATACCTACGCCGAAGTGGCGACCTGTGTGCGTATATGTCTACATCTTCACCCGTCATTTGGCCTTGCAGAAAAGTGCAATGCGATCTATCGAATAGCTGCTGTCTTGTAGAAGCACCGCACTACCAATCATTAATAAATGCAGGCAGTGGAAGCAAAGGAATGCACAGTTAAAAAAATCGAGGCACATATTTGTTGGGCTTTAACGTATCAGAAGCCCGATATGATTACCAGGGACAACGCAGTAGAGAGCTCAAGAGATTTCAACCATGTGGTGTTCTTTTATCGTGCACCTAAATCCAAGGACAAGGGCCTCACGCATTTTAAGTGCGGCCGCCACGGCGAGGGTTCAGTCCCACAACCTGCGGGTAAGCATTCCAGCACAGCAACCACTAGAGCCCCATGGCGGGTGAGGCATGTACAGTATACTCCCGCATTTAAACGCGACATGTTATATATTTTATTTACTTTTTTACTCTACGACTGGTAATAGCCACTGCTCGAGACAGCCACGGCATGTCACGACAAATCTGGTCTTTAAAGCTAATGTGTAATCTAATCTACGCGTTCAGGGTCAAGATCACGCCGATAGGACCCACGGTGAAGACGATGCGTTACTTAGCACTAAATCGTCCCGTTTCAATGCTGGAGTACTAGACACACGAACACAAGAGAACAGAAACGGTTGACACCGACAAACGACTAAGAAGGTTGCTATGAGCTTCCTAAAGAAAAAAACGCGAAGTCACGGAACTTAACCACAGCTACAGCGTGAGCGGGCGCTCGATTACCTTCAATGGCTGACTCACGCTCACTTCGATTACCCTCCGTAAAGAAGAAAGACCGAACGTCGTAGAATCCGCATTTGAGACATACCGACGGGCGGCCTGCCGTAATTCTGAAGCACGCGCAGACAAGTACTGTGTATCATTAGAATCGCAGGCTCAACCTTCATTTGATTGTCGCTCTTCTGTTATCAGTATCATCGTTTATACGCGTTACTGCACGTACCCTGCCCTAGTTCTTTTTCTGCTGAACTAGGAAAGCCATTAGATTGGCCGCCTTTACGCCGAGCAATCGGAAGGAGCAAGCAGCTGACTGTCTTCCGCAGTTGGGCACGCCCACGGTCAGGCACGCGGGATTCGCCGGGGGAACGAATGGACCGAGATGTGCGCAACGGAGGAAGAGGAAAACATCGTGACAACTGAAAGGGCACGTGATCTCCTTGCAGCGTCGCGAGTGCATTAATACTTTCGCCACTCTCGCAGATGGGGAGGGAATGAGGCAGCGATGCGGGGAGCCGCACCCCTGGGCCGACCTTTGGGAGTCCGCGCTTGCGTCTGCGCCCAAGGTCACTGCGTGGCGAGCCAGCGGTATCGATCCGGGGCTGCACGCCAAAACGATGACGCCATGGCGTCCCGTCCCCAGACGAGCGCCGCCATAAACATGCGCCAAGGCACACACAAACACTGAACGGACGCGCATGTCGGCGCAGTGAGACTGTCAGTCTTGACTATCTGGAGTGCCGAAAATCACGGACGAACATCAACGCGTCGCGTAGTCCGGATGTATTTCAGCAACTTTTCGAGCTCCAGCTGCGTTGCTAGTTTAGGGCACTCGAATAACTCGCAAGCGAAGATATCAAAGAGAGGAAATGTTAGTTACAAGCAGCTAAATGGCTAAAATACTTCGTGCTATTAGAATGAAGATTCCCAGTGTCGTCTGACGACATCTTGAGCAGAATAACATCAGAAGGCCAAGTTTCGAAGTTTAGCTTGAATAATATGTGACAAGACCGAAGCGAAAAATGATGGTCGAGGTAAGCTGATACGACCATATCAAGCGGTTATATTTTACGTATACTC